TGGTGATTTCAGATAGAAGAGTATCAAAAATATGTAAGAAATCAGGTGGGTGAACCAAAGGTTCATAACAACTTTATTTGGTAAGAATGATGATACAGAACTTTTCAGGTGCTTCTGACTTATATACTTACTCACATACAAGTGCCTCTGGGCAATCTTCTGGTGATATCTGTGTGGCATGGCTTGGCATCTCAGGTTCTGCTGTTTAGTTGGCTATTTCATGGTCATTTTTGGGGTCTTCAGGAACAGTTGTTTGGCTTGTTGGGGGCCCATCTTGGCCTTACTGGTCATTGTTTCTGGCAGGTTTGGCTGCAGGGGTCATGGGGTCCTTTCCAATTTGATTGCCATTTTGGGACTTGCTTGACAGGCATTCCTGAGGAAAAGAAACTTGATTAAAAAAGGGGCTCCCAATTGGGAACCCCAAATTACCAAATGGAGGATGGGCTTGAACTGGGAGTTCTGGGCAGCTAAATTTAACTTGCCCAGGCCCAGCCAAACCCACCAAGGCTTAGGCATGGCTTTTGGGGCCCAGAATGGGTCCCACAGCTACCGTCAGAGAAGAAGTGTTTCCCGCACCTGGATATTTGCTTTTTAAAGCAAACCCAGGTGCAGGTGAGCTCCAGCTACCCGCTCTCCCTGCCTAGTAGCTGGGAGCAGGTTCAAATCCCGCCATGGGATTTGAATTTTTTACATCTTTAACAAGGAGTGCCACCCCAATATCTTGGTTTAGGTTTGACTTTCCTTTCTTGGTGAGCCTTTGGTCATTTTCTGCACAGTTGCTTGGCTGAGTGGTGAATTATTGCCAATCTGAGAATGATGGGTCTTGGGCATGAACTCCTCTTCATGTTCTGAACTCTGCTCACCTGTATTTACCTTATTGGGACAAGTTGACAATGTTAGGTTGGAGGGCTGGGTATTGAGAATTCCCAAATTCCTATTTTTGGGTTTGTGAGATGCATATTCTGCATTTTGAAGGGCTCTTATTACAGTAGAAAACCAAATAGAAGGAATAGTACGCCCCTGTAAACCCAGAAACCAATAAAAAAACTGACATCAAACCTTTGAGAAAAATAGACAACTTAAATGCCACCATTAATAAAAAAATGGGTCAAAGCTGGATCACTCAAATAGCCCCAGAAAATCTGAACTTTTCCTGATTTTCACCAATTAATTATGACAAGAGGACATTGTGTTATGCATTAGTTGAGGATGGTAGAGCTTGACCCACTGGTTGCCAAAAAAAATTGAATTATGTTAGCATCAACTCAAATTCCAATGCAGGCCCCCCAACTGCTGAAAATGTTCTTGCCAGCCAATCAGATGCCGTGAAACTTCTCCCACCCCCATCCTAAAACACCTTAAAACTTTTTCATCCCACACTAGAAACCTATTTCTAGATAGCTTAATATCCCTGGTAAAAATAAAATAAAGAAGTTGAACCCCATGTTGGAATTCTTTGGCCTTTCAGCTCCTGTTGCTGATCATCTATCATCAGCTTTATTCCACTTTGCAGCTGAATCTCTAGCTGTCCCTTAGCTGGTGCTGTACCTGGTTACCCATTCACCTTACATCTCCAATTTTTCCCTCCAAATGCTGTTCTCATGTTCAATCCTAGTTGCAGTCTTTGGTTACACCCCCAAAAGTGCAAACTTACTGAGCCCCTCCACCTAATATGGCTTAGTGTTGCTAAAGCAGTTAATGATTTTTTTAATTTATCCTCATTGTTTTTTGCTGAATAGTGCCGCTTGTCATTTAATCTTTACAGCCCTTTTGGACACTTCTCATTTTTGGTAACAGGGCTCATGTCAGGGATCCAGCCTGTGGGGGGTTCCTGAGAACTCACAGGCGGACGGCCCGCAGGCCAGGCAGGGAGGGCCCACCACAAGATAGGAAGTAACTTTACAATATAAGATAATGATTTGCCCAGGAGGGCCCAAGGTCCGCTGGCGGGTACCATAGAATCTATCAAGCCAGTAAGAGTGATGTACATCCCTGAATATTTGAGTGGAGATGGATTCATTAGCAGCAACAGATTCTTGCGGATGTTTGGGCCGCGGGGTGAGAGGCAGAGTCATGGGATCCAAATACGCGGGCAAGTAGTTGTATTTGTTGTGGAATAGCAGAGGAGGAATAGTGATCTTGTGGCCTTCCCTGTATACGGTTTTGGTCTCTCTAGTTCTCGCCTCTGGATTGTAGATTAGGATTTCCTCTAAGGTGAACTCCAAATACGCAGGATTGGGAGGGTACTCAGTGAAATGTACAGGACTTTAGGGGACTCCTGGTGGACGGTAAAACTTAGGTGGTTGGTCCGCGGTTTCTTGGGGTTGTAGGGTATGGGGCACAGAACCGTGGGAGGTAGACTGTAGATAAAATAGAACTAAAATCAAATATGGAATAACCTGGTTGAACCAAAGGTTCATGTCACTTTATTGCAAGAATGGCAATGGGCATCTTCCTGGTGGTCCAGGGTATAAGTATGCCCATCTGTCATGGGAAAACTTTTACAAATTTCTCTGGCCTGGGTGATACCATTTACCTGATCTTTCCAGTCTTTGTTGGCATTCATTGCAAGAGTTAAATCATTGGCTGGTTTGAACTGGGAATACTCCAATTTCCTTGTTAGGTTGTGAGATTGGTTATTTCTGGGTGGCCTGCATTTATTGGGAAGTTTCTCTATTTCCTTTCCTGCGGCGGCCCAAGTTATTTTAGGTTCTATGGCTGGGCCCACCTGCTAATTGGTCATGATAACAGGAACCTTTAGTGTGGGTGTTGTTGATGTAAATGATTTTGATTTATCCAGATTTAAGGAAATTTCTGAAGTCAAGATCTGCTCTGGCTTGAGCCCAAAAATCTGCGGGCGGCCAGGCGGCCAGTCCTGGGGGCTGGCGGCCCGCGGGGTCTCAGGATTCAAATCCCGTAGTTGAGGCTTTTCAGTAATCATAGTCAGTAGGAGTTTGTCACTTGTGACAGCTCAGGCTGTTCTGGGGCCTGCCAACTAGGCAGTGGCTGGCTGGACTGAGCTGGGATGAGATGAGGTGAGTAGATAGGCAGGTGGGTGCTGTCCAGCTGTTGTAAGCTGGCTAGACGTGTCAGGATGGGGTGGCTGACAGGAGATTGGCAGCTGGTGGGGGACTTGAAAATCCAACTTTGTATTAAGAAAGTAGTTTCTCTAATAAGGGGTAACAGCTGCTTATAGTTAACATGGTGCAAGTGGTCTGTATGTTGGTTCCTGGCCCAGATGAGGGCCAACATTGGTTTTCCTGTCTTTGTGTCAGAAATATTCCTAATACTGTCCTCCCAGTGGTTGATCCTTGATTTTGTGACTGTATAATATTTGATTTCTCATGATAAATATTAAGTTTATCCATATTTGCTTTAGCTTTTGTTTACTTTAGTGTGTTTTCCTTTGCTTAAAAAAGCCAATACTGTTCTTGCTCCCAAGAAATTAAACTTAAACCTCAAATCTTTTGTGATAAAGATTTTGTGCTGTGTTGTCTTGAATGTTGATTTCAAGATCCAAACACAACAAGTTAATAAGTTTTAGTTTAAATCTGGGTATGCCATAGCTGGTTGAGATATTCTAACTTGGCTCCAGGGGCCTCATGTTCAATTCCTGAGACTTTCATCTAGCCCTGCCTTTATATAGCTGTTATTCATCAGGACCTTACTCATAGTTGCAGTTTTTAGCATGAGCTATCATGGCCGGGGGCCGTCATGTACCAAGACATCAAAGGGGAGCTTAATTCATCCAGATAACCGGTAACAAGGGCCCAGTAGAGGAATGGAGCTGAACAGGTTAGGTAAAGCAATCCAGCGGCTAAAGGGCGGTAGAGCACCAAGATTGGAAATGACAACTTTGGCCAGACTGAGGATAGTCAGGATAACCATTCCAGCTCTACTGTGATTGTAGGGCTGAAGGATGGGGGGAGCAGGAGAGTCGTAGGAAATCCCAGCCATTCCAGGATCTGGACCTGGCTGGTAGTCTATGGGTGTAGGTCTAGGGTGGTACTCTAGTCTTTGGGTTTGGCTTCTGCTCAAGTGGTGTATAAATTGAAATCCTAATAAAGCAAACAAAACCGAAATATTCATTCACTTTATTTGACATTGTCTGCACTTGAATTAAGTGGGAGAAAGTGAATTTTATACCACTCATCTGGTCTACCTTGGAATGTTCTACTGCTTAATCCTTGAGGGCTCTTGGGGTCCCAACTCTTGGGCACTGGCATCTGAAAAGTAGTGGGAAGGGGCTTGGGAAGTGTGGATTGGAATTTGGGTGACTTGGTCTGGGCAGGGGAATTATGTTGGCTGGTGAATAATTAGTCAGTATTTTTAGTCTTGATTTTTCTTTGTTCATTGACTGCAAGAATTTCTGAATCTTGCAGCTCAATTGAGGTGCTGTTCACAACAAATTTATTGGTTTTGTTGACAGCAGCTCCAGTAGCTGCAAGATGATTAATTAATACATTAGTGCAGCTGGGGTGATTGGAGGTGGCAGAAACAGTGGGAGGTTTAGCTGCAGGAGAGCAGCAGAAATCTGGAATTTATCAGATCTGCTGGTTGCACTCTGCAGCAGATCTAATTCAGTACGGCATTGGGTGCACCCAGCCAGAGATGGGGGGGGGCTGGGGCCAGCATTAAAGCTGGCCCCAGGATGGGACCCAGTTTCAGGTCGCTTTGAACTGCCCAAATAGTCCAGGGCAGTTCAAAGCAGCCCTCATCCGCCCTGGTGGGTGTCTGGGGGTTCGAATCCCCCAGCTGGCTTTCTCGGCCACCCTTGCTTTCACTTGGCAGCCGAGTGTGGGAGTTCGAACCCCATTCTGGGCTTCGGGTTGGCCCTTACATGAGCTGTCCAGAAAATCAAATTATAATGAAGCATTAAAATTAACCCCATATCCCCACTTTACTTAAAACCAAAGTCCTTTATACTGCTGCTCTTAAGAGTTTTATTAAAATTTATATTTTAAAAAATGGGTTCAAGTTTTAAATATTAGGAATGATAAGCTTCTGTGGTGTAGTTGGTTATCACGTGCGCCTCACACGCGCAAGGTCTCCGGTTCGAACCCGGACGGAAGCATTTATTTTTGCATATTAATGGTAACATCATTTTGTTTGCCTGTTTAGGGTATGAAAGGGTTCTGGCACAAATATTCCAGTGACATAAGGAACAAGCTAAGCATCAAAACCTCTCTTTTAAAGTGAGCAAAGCATAAATCCGAACTAGTGGATTTATTTATTATGTTATAAAATAGCTTATGTACATCTTTATTTAAATAAATTCTAAATCAGCCAAGCTACTTTTTGAAGTCATAATTCCAAAGAAGCGGATGTAACAAGCACTGCCTGACATATCTACCGCCTCTTGAAAAATAATTCAAAATTTAATTATGGAACATTGCAACCAAACTCAGCATGTCAGAAAATCAACTTTAGAATATTACAAAGTGTATGGTGTCACTTCAACTCCCCGGTTATGATCGTAACCAATTGTTCGTGTCTTGGGAACCTGATGAGAGTATAATCACACCAGATTAAAACTCACATCCAAGTGTCTAAGACTGCATTATACTAAAGTGCTGATGTCAACTAACAATCTCCACTAATACTGAAGTTATAAAAATATTGATTTTTAATTCTATGAGTCGATTTAAACTTACAATCGCCAATAAAACAAAGAGCTTATTAAGGATCCTCTGTACTCTAAATTCTATATTAAAATGTAGTCGCTTGAATTGATGGGCATGTGTCAGCTTGAGACGCCTCTGTGAGATCATCTTTTAGAGTTCTCCTTAGTTTTCTCTGGCGAAATCTTTCGTTGAGTATTTCGATCGAGGCAGAACGTTGTGCTTTGAGGAGGGGAGTGTATTTACGGATGTGGGTGTCGTTTCCAGCACCCATAACTAGAGAGGTGTGATGTCTTTCTACATTGCGTAAAAAGCCAACACCTCCTTGTGGGAAATCCTTGTCGAGGGTTTTTAAAAGGTTTGAATAGTAGTAACCCTTTATGATGTGCTCGTACCAGGAAGCATATGTTCTCCTGTATACTCTAGCCAGAGCTTTATGGTCCAAGGCGCCACTTGTCTGCCACTTGAATGGGATATCGTAGCTTGTTTCGTAGAGAAAGAGCGGAAATGGTGAAGCAGGCTCATACGCAGGCTTTGAATTAAGATTGACAACATCAAGCAGCTGCAGGACTATACTAGGGTCTTCAAGGCCTTGTCCGACGCGGAAAAGAACCACCATAATGCAACGCATCTGATGCCATAAGAAGCTTGAGCCGTGGATGAACAATTCGTAGATTTCGAGGTGATCCAAGCTCTCCAGTCTGGGCTCCAGTGGCTGGATAGCCAAGGTCAGCAGGCTGAATGCAAGCTGAGAAAATATGGCGGGTAAAAACGACACGCTGTTTGCTGCCATCCATCCGAGAAAGATTGCGGAAGTCGTGAGTACCAACAAGATGCTTACACGCTTCTTTCATGCGATCAACATCTAATCCGGAGCCTTCAAGAGTAAACAGGTATTTGTATTTTCTACTTGAGCAGTCATAGCGGGCATTGAAGGTCTCAGGAACAGGTGCCCATCCAATTACACGGATATCTTGAGGAAGAAAACGATTTATCATTTCGAGGAATGGCTTTTCTCCTTCGACTGCGTCAGGATTAGCTGCTAATACAAGCTTGGGCAAAACAGAACGTACTTTGACAGTGATGATTTGGCATAGTCCGCTAACTCCTTTGTCGGTGCGGCCACTCCGCGTGGAGACTATTGTCCGCGCATTTTCAATTAAATTGCAACGCTCTAATGCTTCAAATAGGTAATCTTCGACGGTCGCAACCATTGTTTGGTTGCGATTATGAGGATGCCGCATCCGCAGCCCCTTTTTGAAGTTTAGTCTATTCAAGGGTAACGCCATTGAGTTTACACCTTGTGATGCAAATCCTGCATAGTTCCAGCCAAGGTAGCTTACTTTCAATGCAATATGTCTCTGACAAGTTTCAGCCCAATTTATTTCGGGCGGACCTCTAAACTCTTTCTCTTCCGTAGAAGCTTTAGCGTGTGATCGATCTTCCTCTAAGTGAATCATAGGTTTGGGTTCTTCTAACCGACTTTTATTTAAGGGGTTGTCTTTTTGGAGGATCATTTCAATGAGATCTGTCTTGGAGAGTTTTTCAAGTTGGCTTTTAAGCGATTCATTATTATTTATTGAATTTGAATAAAATAATATGGATTGCCTTCTGGAGAATAACGAAGTAACAGCATATTGCTTCAATGATGAATTTTGTTTTGTTATTCTGCACATCAACTCAAGGGCAGCTGCATTCTTATGGCTCAAGATCGAACGAAACATAGCTATATAAAATAACTTTAGAGCTAAAACCCACTTATTAAAGCAAATTTATATGCTAAAATTCCATGAGCTACAAATCAAATAGAATTTTATTGTATCCTTTTCTTTTTGCAGGATCGAGAAAACATTAATTAAAAGACTTGCAAATAAATGGGGTAAAGAGTAAGTCAGCAAAATGAGGACTGGCTGGATAAACTTGTAAACCTAGAAATCGAAAACATAATGCTTTTCAATAAGCTAAAATTAATTACATGTATATCAAGTTTAAACAAATCTAATACGCCGATGATAGAAACCTAAAACTATTCATGCAGATCGGACAGATGATTATGAAAACAAGTGGGCTACAAGAGGCGAAAAGTAACCAAAGCGAACTCACAATAATTTTCTACAAATCAACTACAAAAAACAAAAATCTTTCCAACTTACAAAAATAAAGAGCCAAGTAAATAAAAATTCATCAGATTTGACCTTGCTTTAAAAGGTCTCGTTGGACATGAGAGAATTAAATCTCTGCCACTTTTTCAAGATCAATTCCTCTAGCAGTTTTTTTTCTTCCAAATTTGTAACTTGGGCTGTGGCGGATCTTAAACGATGGCTGATTTTATAAAAAAGCAGCCAGCCGTTTAAGATCAGGAAATAATTCTGAAAATCGTACTGGCTACGATCTTCTGGAATTACTTCCGTACACATCCACAGAAGGGTGTGTTTTTTCGGATTTTAATTTAAATAAAAATTATATTTTATTTCTTTCAAATTTAAAAATAAAAGTATAATACTTCAAATTCAGCTTTTTTTAAAATAAAAAATTTATTAAAAAATATATGAAAACTAGTACATCCAGAAAATATAAAGATGTCTGACTGTTTTTTTTGAAATTTTGGATTCCCCTAGGTAAGAGGAATCCAAAATTGCAACAGCTTGAATGCACCAATTACGGCAAATGCAGTAAGTGACACATTTTTAATCCGCTGCAGCCCTATTTGTAACTAGGGCTGTGGCAGACCATTACGGAGCAGAGTTTGATTCTAGCCTCCGCTTGGATGGTAAAATTGGGTCCAAGCAACTTTTAGATTCCCTAGAATTTTGGGAATCTATAATTTCTTTGAAAAGTTCTGATTAGAAATACATTTCCATACCCTTTATCATTTTAATTATTGAGTAAAGCTTCATAAGTGAAACCATGCCCTGTGTACTTTGGTTTATTTGGTAGGATATCCTCACTGAATATTTTTTGTAAAACCCATACATAGCTGCCATAGCTGGGTTTGGTATCAAGATAACCTTCTATTGCTGGGAAAGTTCTTACCTGTAAGATATGAAGCTTCTTGAAAGATGATTATAAACTAATACTTTAAGGCCAAGTATATTCATGCTGGTTAGGTATAAAAAGATAGGCAATGTTTGCAGGAGTAACTGAATTAATACACCTAATAACTTATAGAAATTAAAACATGTGCTTGATATATCCCTTAAATGTGAGAGGATAAAATATAAGCCAGTTTTAATAATGGCAGATCAATCTAAAAGCCCAATTTCCAAATCTGGATAATTGATAAAGCCAACCACAGGGTTGAATCTATCAAGAACCAGTGTCATGGCCCATATCAGATTCTGGCTGTCCTCCTGTTGGCAGAGCAGGCTGGGCCTGAAAGGCTATATACACAATTGGGTTGATTCTCACCAGATAGTTTATAGCAGTGGCCCAAGGATACCAAGTACCTGTGTGAGGTATAGATTGATCAGCTAACCCAACACAGTGATGTAGGCAAATCTTATCTTGCTAAAGTCATGAGTAGGAAGGGCCTCAGTATCAGGAATATTTCTGAAATTAGATCTAAAACAAACAATGCTAATATGGCGTATAAGGACAAGAAAATACAAACACCCCTAACTATCAATTCTGATAATACAACATATCAAAAATATGAGCAGCAGTCTTTTCTTATTGGGAAAACTGCCGCAAAAATTCAAAATGATAAATTTGTATTAAAAATGGATTTTAAAATCCAAAATTTGCCCAAGAAGTGCCTCTTTCTGGGCTCTGCCATCTGGCTGCCAGCCAGCCGCAGGCCACACATCTGACCACCAGGCCTCTGCAGCATGTGCACCAGCCAGTCCCTGTCCTATCTCTGCCAGCCAGCCAACTGCTCACCCCACAGTCTTCTTCCCACCGCCGCCCAGCTGGCAGTACCTGGAGCAACCCTGGGAACCCCAAATTTAGAAAAGTTTCAAATTGTGGCACCAAAAATCCCAAACCTTATCAAAAATTCTGCAACACCAAGAACTATTCCAATTTAGCAAATGGCCAAACCGAGTTTTCAGTCCAAGGGTTTTTCTAATTTAAACTCTCAAACAAGGTAGAATTTGGTGCCCCAAAACAGAATTTAGGTACACCAAAAAGACCCATCCCAACCAAGATGATGTTGATTCATCACTTAGGCAAAAATTTGGTATGAGAAGCTTCAAGACCATCCTACAAGGGCAATCTACACTGCATTCAGACTGCTGAGTACCCTGTCCAATGGTTTGAGTTTATCCTGGCTCACACCGGAGCTACTGTATGATAAACCATAATCTCTTGATGATGAGTTGTGTGATCATTGAGAGAAAATCCTCTCAATTAATATCCTATAAAAAGTTCTTTTAATTGCAGCTAGAAGTGAAATCAGCTCAATTTTAAGCAAAATAAACTCAGATGTGTCATGGCCCAGACTTCTCCCAGGAGA